GAGTGAGATCGCAGCCTGAGGGTGCACTGACCGCTGTGTGAAAACAAACACCCTGGGACAAAGGGTGTGAGGAGGAGGGGGGGGGGGGGGATGATGATGATGAGGAGGAGGAGGAGGAGGAGGAGGAGGAGAGGAGGAGGAGGAGGAAGAGGAGGAGGAGGAGGAGGAGGAGGAGGAGAGGAAGGAGGAGGAGGAGGAGGAGGAGGAGGAGGAGGGAGGAGGAGGAGAGAGGGGGAGCAGGAGGGAAGGGGGGGGGTGAGGGAGATGGGGAAGGGGGGGGCGAGGGGAAGGGGAAGGGGGAGGCCATTTTTAGACATTTTTCCGTTCGGCCCCCTGACGCCCTGCCCGCGGGCCAAACCAGGTGCCGTCGAAGCGCGGTCACGACGCGCCGCCGTCGCCGAAGGGCGGCTCCCAGCCCGCCTCCACGCGCGCCTGCGCCCAGCGCGCCGCGGCGGCGGGCGAGGCGAAACCGTGGAGCGCGGCCGCCTGCCAGGCAGCCGCCACGGCTGGCCGCAGCCCCCAGCGCGACGGCCGCCCAGCCCCAGCGGGGGCCCCAGCGCCGCCTGCCTCGACAGCGACTCCTCGGAGCACCGCCGCGAGCCGCGCCTGCTCCTCGGCCGTGGGCGCCTGCGGGGCGAGGAGCCGCACCTTGCTCTTCGGCTCCTGGAGCCGCATCAGGAGCCGCCTCGCTTCTGCCGCCCGCTCGCCAGGGGCAGGTCGCCCCTTGCAGCTGCCCAGCAGGCCAGTCCCTGCAGGAGGGGACCTCTTCCAGAAACGGCAGCCACACTTCAGGCACCAGGCCGTGGCCCCGTCGCCGTTCTCCAGGCGAGAGACGACGATGCAGTGCCCTCGCACCTCCCGCGCCACGCCTGCTCCTGCCACCGCTGCCTGCAGCTCGGGGGCGGCTGCCGCAGCGTCCTCGAGCTCGACGGCGGCGGCCTCGGCGGCGGCGTCGGGTGGCTGGCCGAGCTCCGCGCCTGAAGCAGCCCCAGCACCAGCAGCAGGAGCCTGGCCATGCACGAGCTCGGCCTCGAGCGCCGCCTCCGCCACCTCCTCGTCGGCCTGCTCCGCCGCGCCCAGCGCCTCCTGCGGGATGTCGTAAACGAGGTCGGCCGTGCCAACCACCCCGTCGGAGTCCAGCTGCTCGCGGTCCACCATGGTGGCGGCCAGCTCGCCGATCCAGCGCCCGAGCTCCTCCGCACGCCAGGCGCACGCCTGGAGGAACCAGACCAGCTCCTCGTCGATCGGCCACAGGGCGGCGCCCCTCTTGGCCCACAGGTCGGCTGCCCTGTTGCCCTTGATCATGAGCTCCTCCTCCCAGCTGGACGCCGCGGCAATCGCCTTGTGCGCCTTGACCTTGCGCACTGTGGCCGTCAGGCCAGGCCCCGCCCACCGCTCCTGCCACAGGTGGCGGCGCGCCTGCAGCGGCGCGAGGGTCATGCCCCGCGAAAGCGCCAGGCCGACCGTGCCAGCACAGTCGCAGAAGACCTCGAGGCCCGCGCCGTCGTCCGACGCCTGCCAGTACTGGGCCAGCATGTGGAACGCGTAGTCCTCGCCGTCCCTGGCCTCCTGCTCGGGTCCGTACCTCCACGGGACGATGCCGTGCATCCCGCCTATGACTTCCCCGCCGAGGCCGATCTGCACCACGGCCCAGCCAGCGCGGCGTGCCCCTCGCAGCGCGGGGAACCTGGCGCTGCCATCCACGAAGACCCTGCCCGCGAACTTCGAGCCTGGCGGCGCGCCGGACCAGCGCGGGGCCGCGAGCGCAGCGTCTGCCGCCGCGGGGAAGGCAAGGGCAGGGTCGGGGCATAGCGCGCGCGCGAAGAGCTCCGCCGCGGCATCCCCGCGCTGCGCCACCAGCCTTGCCCCTTCCAGCAGCTCGGGCGAGCACGCCTCCCTCCGCAGCGGCTGCCAGGCGTCGCACTCGAAGGCCCTGTGCCACAGCGTGCCTCTGCCTCCGCACAGGCAGCAGCGGCCGTCGAGCGCCTTGCCCTCCTTCCAGAGCCGCTCCTGCGGCCAGTGGGGGCCGCCGAGGACCGCCACGAGCGCGCGCCTGTGACGGGCCTGCCAGAGCGGCGGCGGCCGCGCGGGCCCCTGGCGGCCTGAGCCAGGGGCAGCCTCGGCGGAGGCCTGCTCCTCGGGGCGGCGGCTCACGCGGAGGAGGCGCTCCAGCCCCTTCCAGTTCACAGGCCATGCCCAGGCGCCAGGCCCGCGCAACCGCTGCAGCGCGAGCACATCCGAGGCCAGCAGCGCCAACGCGCGCACCACCTGCACCAGCATGCCTGGCGAGAAGAACTCCAGCGAGAAGACCCGCGCCTGCCAGTCGATGACGGCATTGAAGGCCACCATCTCGCAGCCGACCCGCTTCAGAGCCAGTACAAACGCCTGTGCAGGGTCACGGCGCTGCCCCCAGGGGCGGCGCAGCTCCAGCAGGCCTTGCGCCCCGCGCCAGCACTCCTGCACCACCGCGGCACTGGGCAGGCCCGTCTCCAGCGTCATG